TTTATATAGTGTTGTGACTATCGAAAACTATGTCCAATTGGGGAGGGTATGTGCTATGGTGAGCACTGTGAATTGCATAAGACTGATGAACCACAGACCTGTACCCCTGAAATAATACACTGTGTTAACTAAAAAAAAATAGAAAACTATGTCCAACTCGACCATGTAGTAAACCACTTTTTTTTCTGCACAACTTTTTCTAAATTATGAGCTGGAGTTTAGAATTGCCTAGATCTGTGGAGCGTGATATGGTAGCCAAATGCAGCAATTTAAATGAAAGGAAACTGTCTGTCACTCTAGCTACGTTTCATGCCCTCACTAGTCCTACGTGGCTCTCGGCTATCATATTGGACAGCACAGATATTTCACATTTCCATCACCAGAGAAATCTGTATTACATGGCACTTTCATCACCTCAGAGACAACCTAAGAAACCACACTATTAAAACAAAAATAGCTTTAAAAAATTTCCTTGAACCACTCACACAGGGATTCTAGACTTCCCCAAATAGTAATGGAAAAAAAAATTAAAAGGAAGTGTCATATAATCTTGGTTTCAAAATAGCTAAAGACAAAGTGTCTCAGATTAGGGTCCCATAGATCATCACCAAATAGCTCAAAGTTTATGCCCTGGGTTCACTAGCTTTTGGTAACCCCTCTCCAACACTCCTTGAAAGGAGTACAGAGATGAATTAGTCAGACGTTACTCTAGAATTATTGCGATGACAGTGAATGACAGTGATCATCTGGTAGACTTTAAATTGCAATTATAATTGCCTGTCTTGAGGATTTTAAAGTTTTAGGTTATCACCTTCACTATCTTCTAAGCCTGTGCTGTCCAATAGAGTGCCATGTGGTGTTTTAAATTAATTTAAATAAAATTAAAATTCCACTTCATTAGCTACATTTCAAGGGCCTGCTAACCACATGTGGCTACCACTTAACATTTTGGACAGCACAGATAGAGATCATTGCATCATTTCAGAAAGTTCTGTTGGACAGCACTGGTTGAAATTTTTCATTTGCTTCGCTTTTCCTAATTCACCCCCAAGTCCATAGTCAATTACATAAATCTTACTTCACAGTGCTCAGACTTCTGAAGTGGTCTTCAATTTCATCTTCATCTCCAGAAGCCTTCTGATCTGTTCCAACCAGCCAAGTTGCCTTTTGAGCCTCTAATACTTACTCCTTTCTATAGAGCCCATCTTCCATGGACTTCCTGAGAAAAGTGCCTGGGAGATGAGCTATTTGAGACTTGTGACTTAAAAAATATCTCTATTCTATCCTCATAATTGATTGATGATTTGGTCATTAAATTCCAGGTTGAATATAAATTTCATTCAAAAATTTTTAAACATCATTACATAATCGTCTTGCGTCTCATGTTGCTTTGGAGAAGTCTAAACATTCTGGTTCTCATATTTTTTTCTCTCTGAAAATGTATGTTTTCTTTGTCCCAAGCGCTCTTTTTACAGTAACAAGAGGGGACATATAAAAAAAAGTGGGCATTTACCCAGTATTCTGGAAACATGTCCTTCAGTTCTGGGAAATACTGTTTAAATTTCTCCCCTATATTCTCTGTCTTCTTTCTGAGCCTTCTATTGCCCAGATAATGAATCTCCTGGACTGGTTTTCTAATTTTATCTTTACTATTTTTCATCCTGTATTTTTGTTCTACTTTCAAAATGGGATTTTGCCTCAACTTTACTTTTCAGTCTTTCTACTGAGCTTTAAAATTCACTAACATTTTTAATTTCTAAGGACTTGAGAATGGTTTTTTTTATAGCATCTTAGTTTTAACTGAAGTTTCATCAACTCTGTCCCCTTGAGAATATTGACAGTAGCTCATGTCCCCCCCTCCCCCAACCCGAATTGGCTCTTGGAGTTTTCCATGGTTCTTATTAAAAGTCAGTTTTCTCATCTCCAAAGACATTAACCCTTGGTCTCCCACTTTCCAGCTTCTGAAATGTTACTGCACTTGTCTCTTCTCCTGTTCTTTTTTTTTTTTTTAAGATTTTTATTTATTTGATAGAGAAAGACACAGCAAGAGAGGGAACACAAGCAGGGGGAGTGGGAGAAGGAGAAGCAGGCTTCCCGCGGAGCGGGGAGCCCGATGCGGGGCTCGATCCCAGGACCCTGGGATCATGACCTGAGCCGAAGGCAGACGCTTAACGACTGAGCCACCCAGGCACCCCTCTCACTTTTCTTATGAATATTAACGTTTCAAATTGATCAGGATTTCTTCAGTCACTTCAGGGCTCCTTATTCCTTGAGTGCTCCCTTCAATTGCAGCTTGCTCACACAGAGCTATAGGGTCAGTTGTGCATATGGCGGGGGGACGGGTTTGGTGGTCAACGTGTCATCATACTGGCATCCATGGAAACTTATTCACCCGGTCCCTGGGAAATAGTCTATAGATACGTCTGCAATCTTCCCACCCCCAACCTAGGTCTTCTCCAGGTTTGGAGGCTCTGGGTGTGTGAGCTGACTTGATGAGGCTGATGAGGCAGCCTCAGGCCTGTCCACCTAAGCAATCCATGTGGCTGGCTCTCCTTCTCCCACACCAGGCTAAGCAGGAGAGCATTTCCTTCGACTTCCTGCTTCCTCGGGTTTTATGTGGGAGGTAGGGCACAGACCCCTCTTCTTGGCTTCTCAAACCTAGCTGGAGTCCTAGCACTTCCATCCACGGGGACTTCTATCCAGGAGTCTCTTGTTGATGTGTAAATACTATGCCCTAGATCCTTTAGGGCTCTAGACTCTCAAGTTTAAAAGCTCAAGTTACGTTTTCTCAAAAGCCCTTTTTCTAAAACGGAATTCTGCCAAGAGTTCTAGAAGCCCATTTAGGAACTCAAAAGTAAAGAGTCTCATTTTTGCTCTGGTTTTTCGGATAGTATTCTGAGACCTTGAAGGCTGAAGCCCCTAGCTGCAGCCTAAGTGGGGCGGCGCAGGCGAGTCGTGAACTCTCCCTGTTAGACCTGTATGATAACGTCCTTTGCTCTGTCAACGATCTGCTTTTCACGAATGTAAGAGCTGTCTTTTCATATTGATGTACAGTTTGAGGGAAGAACCACACTTAGAAAGTTTTGTCAGGAAACATTTTCATTATCCTAAGTGTGTTCGGCATACAAGAATCACCTCACAGATTTTTTGAAAACCTTTAATTTTGTGTCTTTATGGTATGTAACACTGAGTAGAAAATAGTAATTACTTAATTGATAAATTTACTGCATCTAACTCCAAATGGCTCTAAAAGAGAAAATCAACACTGAAAAATTACTCTTATCCAATTAAAACAATTATACTTTTTTCTGTTTATATTACCTTTATACAATTAAAAATTCACTTGGGAAGTAACTGAATTTAGATGCTGAACTGCAAAAATAGGACCCTTCTATTTAGATAAAATTACTTCCTAATTTTTTTTTGAACACTTTTTTTTTTTTTTAAGATACTATTTGTGTGAGAGAGAGAGAGACAGAGAGAGGGAGCAAGCACAAGCGGGGGAACGGCAGGCAGGGGGAGAGGGAGAAGCAGACTTCCCTGCTGAGCAGGGAGCCCGACGCGGGACTCCATCCCAGGACCCCGGGATCATAACCTGAGCCAAAGGCAGATGCTTAACTGACTGAGCCACCCAGGCTCTCCTCATTTGACTATTCAATTTCCGGCTCAAGTTAATAGATGTGTTTGAAAAGCCTGGCCCTCAAAGCCAAAGAGGAACAGTTATCTTTTGTGTTGTCTGGTGCCCCAGTGCCAGGAATGCCACACTGTTCCTTCTTTAGAAAATGCAGATGCCCATTTCCAGCCTGTTCTAGCCCCTCCAGATTCCACGGACACCTGCTGAGGGGGAGGAGGGGAGGCCGGTGGCGCCAAAGCCCCAGATCAGGAAAGCTCCCTAATGGCTAGGGCAGAGGGAAAGCCATCTGCTGGGCAGATATTTCTAGGACGTCGTACAGTGAGAAGTGGGCCGGACAGAGCCGAGAAAGCCCCCCTGGCTGCAGAGGAAGGGAGGCTCCGTGGGCCTTCGTGGTGGGTTGGTAGTGAATTCTTTATCCTCCCTGCCATTGTTGATTATTTAATTCAAGCTCTTCCCAACAATCTTTTGAGTCCCTTCAGAATGCAAACACTTGTGCCAGTCCCCAGGGATAAATGCAACAATGAGTAAGACACTGTTCTTACGTTCAGCAGAATTTGCCGTAAGTTTCTGCGATGTTTTCTCCCCCCCATAGCCCACTAGTTACTTACCCAATTTCTAGCTTCTCAGTCATTCCCCATTTTCTCTGGGACAGAGAGCAAACACTGCTGCCTGACATCCAAGGCCCTCCAAGACCCAATTCACGTCTTTTCCAGCCCCTTCTACTTACGTTCGACATCTTGGTACACGGTGAACAGGCCAACCCACCATATTCTCTTTTAACTCTGTGTGGCTGAAACTCCCACTCAGTCGTCTTCACAGTTTAGCTGAAGTGTCACCATCCCTAGGACACATCCTGTGACTTCTCTGCCTTTGCCCCAGGCTGTGTTAGGGGCTCTTCTGTGCTTCCTTAGTGTCCATCACTCTTCGAATCTTCAGTGGTGTAATACTGGACTTGTCTGCACCCAGTTTTTCTCCCATAGTAGAACCTTCTTGCAAGACACAACTATGTTCTCTTTTTATCTCTACCATAGGCCATAGTCCTGGTACACAGCAGGCACATCATTATTAATGGCTTGGTAGATGAATGAAATCACCTTCTTTGTTGTCCTCTATTTTTTAAAAAAAAATTAAATGAGGGAGAGAGAAAAGAGCATAGGTCAGAGGGAGAAGCGGGCCTCCCGCTGAGCAGGGAGCCCAACACGGGGCTTGATCCCAGGACCCTGGGACCATGACCTGAGCCAAAGGCAGAGGCTGAACCACCTGAGCCACCCGGGTGCATCCCTTTATTTTGGCTATCATCAACTGCTCATTTTTACAATTCCAATCTTCATTTCTCCCATTGTTACTTATCAACTCTCTTTCCAGAATGCTGTCAGAAGGGTATCTCAGTGGACTTGCCTACCAGAAGGACATCCACTGGAGCTGTTCATCTTATAATGAGCAGGTGGCTGAGGAGAAGGAAGAAGAGACAGAATCTGTTACTCATCCCTACTGCTCGGTGGATGAAACCCAAGTCCGAAGTCTGTATGTGAGCTGCAAATCCTCGGACAAATTTATTTCTTCAGTGCGTTCAAGAGACAGCCAACACAGTAGAAATCCGAGAGCCACAATGCTGCAGATGAACCCCAATCCTGTGTTTGAAAGTCCCAACGTGGCTGCGGTCGAAATATGTAGAGACTCCAGCCGAGAGACCTACTTGGTCCCACCTTCCTGCCAAAGTATTTGCAAGAATTACAATGACTTGCATATTGCAGGGGACCAGGTGATGGCTATTAATTCAGTGACAACAGATTTCCCCCCTCAGAGCAGTTTTGAATACGGCCCTTTGCTGAAATCATCTGAGATTCCTTTGCCCATGGAGGATTCCATTTCCCCTCAACCCAGCTACTTTCCCCAAAAACCTATCCAGCGGTATTCATCCTACTGGAGAATAACCAGCATCAAAGAGAAAAGCAGCCTGCAAATGCAGAAGCCTATGTCTAACGCAGTGCTGAATGAATACCTGGAGCAGAAGGTGGCCGAGTTATATAAGCAGTACATTATGGACACCGAGTTTCACGACAGTTCTCCCACCCAGATCCTGGCATCTGAACTCATCATGACAAGTGTGGATCAAATTAGTCTCCAAGTGTCTAGAGAGAAGAATCTGGAGACCTCCAAAGCCAAGGACATAGTCATTAACTGTCTATTACAGCTGGTATCAAGTGAGATCAGCACACCTAGTCTCCGTATTTCTCAGTATAGCAACATCAATCCATAGAGAGGATGCCTCTCAACTACTCCAAGCTAGAGCAACACTTTCTTCATTGATTCCGAGAATGTGCAGGAGTTGGGGGTGAAGCGGAGTCCAAAGCTGGAGAAGGTTGGATGGAGGTCAGGTGTAAATTCAGAGGAAATCTTCACCATTACATGCGATGAAGGCGTGTGGAAAGAGGAGCCATAAAGACTAATTTCAAAGCTTATTTGAAGCAATGAAGCAAAAATAAAACCGACCCAAAAAGAAAAGGTATGATTTAAAGGACTACAGAAGTTTAAAAAGAAGCCAAGCCAAACAAGAACATACACCATGGGAAAACAAAAAGCCAAAGGTTTCAGGGTCAAGAGTTAATGTTGTTAAGCAAATAAATTCCTCCAAATTGTTTCTTCTCGAGAAGAACGGACTGTAGAAGGGTGCTATGTTTGGGTAGAAAGACTGGTTTCCAACAGTTGTGAAATTCTATTTCTATTTCTTTTCTCTATTCTTTATCAGATCATTTAAAATCTATATATTCTTTATAAACATTCAAAGAGTAGCAAATTGCAATTGTGGTTTTTTTTTTTAATGATTACTTAGCTATGGCCACTCTAACCTTCTAGTTCCGTTTACTAGTGAAGATGAAGTTTTCTAAATGAAAAATATCACACCGTGAATTTTTCTTTTTAAGATCTTATTTTTAAGTCCTCTCTCCACCCAGCTTGGGGCTTGAACTTACAACCCTGAGACCAAGAGTTGCATGCTCCACCGACTGAGCCAGCCAGGTACCCCTCACATCATGAATATTAAAATAATTCTTTTTATTTTGCTATATATGATTTTCTTGGTGGTATTAAGCTTCTAAAGAAGTTATGAATGTTAATCCCCCCCCATCATTTTTTTCCTCCACTTTCTCTTGACCCTTTTGGAGCCAGGAAGGGGTCTTCTGCATCCTCCAAACAAGGTTACAAGCTCTAGGGGCCCATCATAGCAAATTCTGTCACCTCATGCCCTAGAATGGTAGCTTCATGAGCACCTCACTGCTCTACCCCACTCTTCTCACCTAAGGGATGGCAAAACACAGCTCACTGGCCTTATCTAGCCTGCTGCCTATTTTTTTAAAATTATGATATAATTGACATAACATTACATTAGTTTCAGGCATATACCATGAGTCACTGTATCAATTGCAAAATGATCACCATCAATCTAGTTACACCCTTTTTGAACCCCCATGAGCTCAGAATTTCTTCTATCATTTAAAAATGGTAAAACCGGGGCGCCTGGGTGGCTCAGTCATTAAGCAACTGCCTTTGGCTCAGGTCATGATCCCAGCGTCCTGGGATCAAGCCCCACATTGGGCTCTCTGCTCAGCAGGAAGCCTGCTTCTCCCTCTCCCCCTGCTTGTATTCCCTCTCTCACTGTCTCTATCAAATAAATAAATAAAATCTTAAAAAAAATAAAAATGGAAAAACCATCAATAAGTATTTGACAGGTGGACTTAAGATACTCAAATTCAGTGTCCATAAAATCAGGCTTTACTATAGTTCAGCCACAGCCATCCATTTATATATTGTCAATGGCTGCTTTCACACTCAAATGGCAGAGTTGGATAAATACGACAGAGAAAGTATGGCCCACAGGAGTCTGAAACACTATCTGTCTTCTTAAGGACAAAGTTTCCCAACCATGCTCCCCAGTAGGGCCTTGCCCATACAATGGTTGCTGGACTTAACTGAGCTTCCTTGGGAAGGTGATGGAGATGAAGCCTGGGGAGGTAGCTTCCTGGGGAGTGAGGAAACAGAAAAGGTTTCCACAGAGGTCTCAGGCTATCTCAGAAAGCTCTGGAGCTGGGATGGCCCTTCAAAATGGATCCAAATTGAAATTAGAGGGTTGGCTGTGGTTCTCCATCTTGGCCAGAAGGGGGCGTAACTGAGTTGAGGCAGTTCAGTTCAGGGCAACATTCTCCAAGTGGGAAGTAGTTGCTGGGGGAAGGAGCGCCTCATACGAAAGCAGTGATCGGGATGGAGCAAAACAGCATCTTCTACATTTCTCACTATTTTTATAAATTAATATTTTACAACATATATCTTGAGTAAGGAAACCTGGTTTTGAAATGATTATTCAGATATTTTATTCAATTTTAAATTTACGGAAATAATAGCTGCTCTTTATTAATTGCTCGGTATGTGTCTGGCACCATGTTAAGTATTTTGCACGAATTATCTTATAGAATCCTCATCACCTATGAGAGCAAATGCCTATTATCCCTTTTATCAGAGATGAGCCCGCTGGGCTCAGGGAAGTTATTTGTGGTAGGGCTAACAGTGGGTGGTGAACTTGGATTTGAATCCAGTTCTATTGAAATTCAAAGTCCTGGTCCTTAAGTGCTACCACCTGCTCTCCTGTTGACCACCATGTTTTTTCTCATTAAAGACTGGTTTTCCTCTCCAAAGGAAAAGAACTCAATTCCTTCACCATCACGCTACATCATTTTTTTCTTCATTGTTTTGCTTGATAAAATTTGCAGATCTTCATCCCAAGAACATAAGCTTTGATTTACTCATTTGTTTCTCCAGGTCTCAAACACTAGTTACACATAGTAGGCACCCAATTAATGTATGCCAAATGCATACATCTGGTGGTCGAAGTGAGGAAACCATCAGTATGAAAACCAACTACTTCTGACTAGAATCAAGTGCTATTGAGAGTTCCTCAAGGAGAAAAATAACTGAATAAATGAGCTTAATTTCTTCTAACATGTTAGTATAATAAGTACATTATAACGTCACAGATATTTTTCTTTTTGCTGAGAAATAACTCATTACAGAAGAGACTGGTTTGTCTTTTCCACTGAGCGTTATTTCTATGCTATTTTGGGTGGGGGGGTTGGAACACAGTGCATTAAACACAGGTAGGGAAGACGTGTGTGCGCACACACACAGGGGAATAGGCCCTGTTCTCCGCCAGCTTACTAGATTGTTGGAGAGACCTAGCAAATAAGTAGGTGACAAGTGACAAAGCCCCTTAATAGACAGGAACTTGGCAAAGTGGCACAAACAGAAACACAATTATCAATGATTGCAACTCAAGTGTGATATGGGCTAAAAGTAGATGGCTTAGAAGGTGGTGGACAGTGGGGGAAGCCCAGCGCAGATGCCAAAGGGAAGGAATGGTTTAGATGACTCTTGAAGAGCAAGATAGGATCTGGGTAGACCGATGGGAGAGGTGTTTCATGCCACAGGGAGCTCCGAGTCCACAGCTACAATGGAAGCTGCATGAATGCACCAACGGCAGGATGCTAGTTTGCTATGGCTCATGTAACGAACGGCCACAAAATTAGTAGCTTAAAATAAAACAAACCTATTATCTTAGGGTTATGGAGGTCAGAAGTCCAAATTGATTCCTACTGGGCTAAAATCAACGTGTTGGTAAGGCTGAGTTCCTTCTGGAGGTTACAGGGGAAGAAACGGTTTGCTTACCCTTTACAGCTTCTAGAAGCTACCCGCACGCCGGGGCTCCTGGCTGCACAACAAAGCGACCACAACCACCAATGGAACTTCGCCTGCCCTGCCCTGCCCGCGTCCCTTTTATAAAGACCCTTAGGACTCCATTGGGCCCACCTGGATAATTGAGGCTAACGTGCTCACCTCAAGATTCTTCAAGTAATCACAGCTGCTAAGTTCCTTTTGCCTTGTACGGGAACATTCACAGGTTCCAGGAATCAAGATATGAATATCTGTCAGGGCAAGAGGGTGGTGGTGGACAGTATTCTGTCTACCACAGAAAGGACCATTTTCCCCCCTCCTGATTGTCAGAAATTTGCCTTTCCACTCTTAATTCTTATTCAAGATGAGTAAGTCCATGTTTGTTTATATGTAAAATAGATGGTTTCCTTTTCTGCCTGTTGTCATCCCATGCTGTATATTTTGATTTGTCCATATACATTAATCCACTTTTTCTTGTGCTCATTTTAGATATCCTTTTCTGGATTCTAATTCTATTTTTATCTTTCTTTTAAAATATGTTTCTTTTATTCATTATAAATGTGGTATCGGTTTGTTCTAGAAAATCTGAATAACAGCAAAGCAGAAAGCTGTCCTCAGTCCCCAAATATTCAGGTAACGTTTCTGAATGAAATTTTTTTTAAAGACTTTATTTATTTGACAGAGAGAGACACAGCGAGAGAGGGAACACAAGCAGGGGGAGTGGGAGAGGGAGAAGGTGGCTTCCGCTGAGCAGGGAGCCCGATGCGGGACTCGATCCCAGGACCCTGGGACCGTGACCTGAGCCGAAGGCAGATGCTTAACGACTGAGCCACACGGGCACCCCGATCACATCATCTTTGAATAAAATACTGTATCTTTGTTTGTTTCAATGACACTGTTCTGAGCTTCTAGAAGTTCTAAAACTAGTAGATTTGTAATGTTTGTCTGGGGGACAATCTATTAGTTTTTCTTCCTTCCTCATATACTATTTGATAATGTCCAATATTTTGTGGACATTTTTGTCTGTTGTAGAACATTGGGGCAATAGACTCAGGAAATTGTCTGTATTAACAGTAAGGTCTCTGAGTTTTAACTGTTAACCTGAAGTTTGACATTCAAGAAATGATTTAGATTATTTGCCTTTCTATATTGTACTTGTCTATCCTGATAATCACCCACCAGACTTTCATTTACTCACTTTAAATTCAAAGAAATCCAACTAATATTTATTCAGCATGAACTATTATACAAAGATGAGGCTGACACGGTCCCTGTTTAAAGAGCTTATTGATGTGGTACAAAATCTAGCAAGCAATGCACACTAGTGTGGTAAGACATGGGCAATGACTATTTAAGATATGTTGAATAATTTTCCTTTCAATTTATCCCAATTCAACATCTGCAGTCCTAGCCCATATCTTGTTTTATTTATTTTCTTACTTTTTGACCCTCAGCCCCTATTAGAGGGCTATGACTAGAACCTTCTTTACTAAGCACACTGAGAAGCAGGAAAGGGGTAGGGATGGGGTACCTTCAGTA